TTATTGCCTTTTGATGAGGTGGGACTTGGGTGTATTGGTTACCTATTTACAGACGAATAATATGTATTAATTAGATAAAAGGTAAGGGAGACACCCAATGCACATGGAGCCTTCGCTGCACTTCACAAGTCAATGCATCCTGTAGCCATGAGGGAGCTTGGGATGAGGACAAGCAGACAAGGACAGGATGCATCCCTTCCTGCCAGCCAGGCCTGTCTTCCCCACCCCACACCAACTTGTCTACATGTCAGGTCCAAGGCCCAAGGCCCAGCTGAGCACTGCTCACCTTGCACTCCTCTGCACAGCTCCCGCCAGGAAAGTTTACACAAAGCAAATCCAGGTTCTGTTTTCCCAGCTCTAAAAGGAGCCTCATGTTAGTCTTCTGAGTGTGTCCCAATTTTTCAGCCACCACAGTTGAACATGGAATGGCAGAGAACAATTCCTGGGTCTAAATCTCCCCAAAACTGCATCCTAGAGGACAAGGGCATTTTAGCTTCTTATGTTCCAAGAAGCAGCATCACCTAAAAGTGACCCAATCCCACCTTGTTACCTTCTTCCTTTTCCTTGCAAAACCCATCACTAACTCACCCTAAAACACTCCTTATGGGTATTTTCACCCTTGAAATAACAGCCGGGGACCCTCCTGACGTGCAGAATAACGACTTTAGAACCAATAAGGTTATAAAGAAGGTATGTTTATTCAGCACTGGGTGCACAGGAGATCCCTCCTCCACAAACGTGCACACCCTAGGGCTATTGGCAAGTTCATTATATGCCACAAAGTAATACATATTCATCTATACTGCTGCATATACATTAGGTGTCCGAGGATAGGGAGGGGTTATTACAATTAGTTCCCGGAAATCATTATCATAGTTGCCCCCTGAGCTCCTCCTTGTTGCACCTGTGCAGTGTCTACTGGTGGTCGTGGGCAGGGGTCTTTGGGATGAAGGCCGTATGTCTTCCTCGCTGTGCAGTTTTCACCTCTTGGCATTCTTTCCTGGGGCCTGCACCAGGGTCTTGTCTTCTCTGCAAGTTTCTGTGGGAGCATCCTCCCACACAATACCTTCCCTCACAATTCAGGCCTTATCTATACATTCCAAGCCTTATCTATGCTAAGCTGTGCCATCCTGCTTACTCCTTATGTGTTACTCCTTTCTACCAAGGTAGGCCATCTGGCTTTCCTCAGATCACTCCCACCACACATGCTTTGTCTCTTGACTAGGGTGTCACCATGATAACGACTTTATTTTCATCTCATTTGGGAAATACAGTGACCTTGACCATGCCCCTTCAGTCTTGGTGATCCCTGAGATGGATCTGGCCATGATGGTTGAGATCTGCTCTCTGGTAAAGATCCTTCTCACACTGGGTGCAGCTAAAGGGTCATTCACCCAAAAGAAGCTGTTGATGTTTCCACAAGGTGCAGCTCCAACTGAAGTTCTTCTGGCTCTGGTTTAGGATTTCTCTCCCTTGTGGATGCGTTGATGGCTCATGAGACCAGAGCTCCAGGCAAATTTCTTCCCACAGTCAGGACACTTGTAGGGTTTCTCTCCTGTATGGATGCGACTATGTCTGATGAGCGTAGAAATCTGGGCAAAACTATTTCCACAGTGGGAACACTTGTAAGGACGTTCCCCTGTGTGGACCCGCAGGTGAGCAGTGAGGTTTGAGCTACTCCCAAACTCCTTCCTGCATGTGGGACACACGTAGGGTTTTTCACCAGTGTGGACATGTTGGTGACGCATCCAATGGCTGCTCCTACCGAAGCTCTTCCCACACTCAAGGCACTTGTAGGGCTTCTCAGCCATCTGGAGCTGACAGTGTTGACTTAACGTGGAATGGTCGGCAAAGCTCTTCCCACACTCCACACACCTGAAGGGTCTCTCCTCTCTGTGGATTCAGTGGTGCTGGCTTAAAGTTGATCTGAAGATAAAAGTTTTCCCACAGTCGGGGCAGTTGCAGGACATGGCACCAGGGCACGGGGGTCACGTGGGACCAGACACGAGGAGGCTCCCACAAGGGTCACCCCAATGGATAAACCCTGGTGAGCCGGCTGGATCTCCTTCCAGTGGTGGAGATGGGCTGGGTGGATCCTGAGCCAGCCTTTCCTGCCTTCCTCACCAACACTAAATTCATCTCCCACATGGATTGGAGGAAGTTTCACCAAGGTTGAGCTGTGACCATAAGCTCTCCCACACTCGCGGCTTCCAAATGGATCCTACAATTGGTCAATAAACCTTGATTTTGGTTTCGGTGGGGGTGGCACATCAAACCTGCTCTGGGAGGAAAAGGGATCCAAGGTGAAATGGGGGGGATTACTAATTGAGTTGGACACCCTCCCACACAATTAACTGG